AGCTGAAGTGACAGCTTGGAGAGATTAGTGATATAGTAAAAACAGAGGGAGAAAACAGGTTGAATAGATATGGTAAATGTCATATATTTAACTGCAACACAATGAAATTCATACCTAAATTATTTTTGGAAGAGTTTTTCATTGGTTCCTCAACTTGCGTTGGAGTTCTGTTCCGGTGGTCTGATGTAACTCGATTTTGTACGTAGGTTGGAACATACATATTGTACGTAAGTACCTATGTTACTCTACCTACGCTAACACAGTGGTAACATCATAATCAAGGTGTAAACTATCTAGGTGAGTCATAATGAAGGGCAAACAGTTCCCAAAAAAAAAAAAAACCTATACAAACAAAAGAAAATGAACGTAGCTTCACTCGCCAACTAGTTCCTGTGCAAAATTTGTTTAAATGTCATACGTCGGAATGATGGAACAAGAATCTTTGGAAGATGGCGACCACGAAACACTGTAGATCAAGGACTTATTTTAGCTTCATATTACACCGACATTACTACACAACACTACAGCTGACACAGATACACTGAGTGATATTTTTTGTTAGCTTTATTTTTAATGTTTAACTTACGAGTACAAGCTAAATTTGAAGAACAGTGAGTTTGTCAACGTGGGAATATGTTCTTTACAGAGTGAAAATAACATGTTTGTTATACTGTGTATACGTCTGTGCATAGTGTTAGTGTGGTTAAATCCCATTCTCGGGAGTTTGTGTGTGTATGTGGTAAGCTTTGGAAGAATGTGGGCATGTCCTCAATCCCTTTTTACTGCGTGTGGGCCTGTGTGTGTGTGTGTGTGTGTGTGTGTGTGTTGTGAAAGGCAGTAAAATACACCAATCCAGCTGTAAATGCCCTAATCCTACCAACCTCCTTTCATTTCTTTTTCAACAAGTCTTTCATTTTTCTGCCTCTTGCTTCATCTCCGCAGTTAAAATGTTTTCCTTTCTGCCCTGGAAGGACCACACGATTATACAACGGGACTGAATAAAAGACAGACACACACAGAGTCTGAACTAAAAAAAAAACAGAGAAAAGATGAAATGTTGAACATTTCTCATAGTGCAGACATGGGAAGTTTAAAGTCTGCCAAGATGGGAAATTTAGTGCCAGTAGAAACGAGTGCAGAGAGACACAGAGAGGGGCTGGAAGACGGAGTGAGGAGTGAGGGAAACGGTCCAGTGGAAACCATGATGTCATGATTAGTGAGGTGCGACCATCCTGCAGTCACACTGGCACCACATGGATGGCAGCGAAAAGCACATTCACAACCCCAACACACACACACACACACGCACAAAATCTTCTAGTCTGCGTGACTAAATGGTCACAGCTGTTGCATGAAACAATGCCACCATTGTCACTTTTAACCTTCATCATGTACACACACACAGAGACACACACACACACAGAACAATCAGCACTAAGACCACTGAAGCCCCGTCAATGTCCGCTTGACACAATTCATCCCGAGCTGCCGTGAGCTAAACGCCCAGGACTTCTTTCATCCACCTCATTGCCAAGCTTTCAATTCTATAATGATAAGCTATTTAACCAAACAACAGCGGTGATGCATTTAAAATGTTGGAATAATGTGTCCTTTCTTTTCTGTTGACTAGGGGTGAGGGGGAAGTAGACTTTGATTGAAACCAAAAGCGGCGGTTTGGAATGTGGTTGTTTTTCAGCCTCGTGGGACTTTACCCAAGCAAAGGGTCTGATGCTTGTTAAAGTTAACTCATGAAAGACCACGGGGGACGCATGCGGAGGTTCATTTGAATCCAAACAGGTGTGAAGTGATACATCTGGATCCACACGTGTGAGATCAGGTCACTCAGGATGTGATCTAACACCCGGTGTAACACCAGGTAAGACACAGGCCGACTGTTCCGCGTGTGAACCTAAAAGGTCATCTGTCATCGCCCCGTGTCAAAATGTATATATCCACCACGTCCACAGTGGACATTTGGATTGGCTGAGGCACAGGACTAACTGTTAACGCTGATGGGAAAAGACTGAGGTTCATTGGCAGGATCAACTCCGGGAAGTTGTGCCGGTTGAAAGAAAATTAAAGTTGACGAGGAGGTGACTGTGTAGTGAACAACAATCCTAATATTTGTCTGGTCATTTATGGCAACCAGCAAGAAGGAATAGTTAGCAGAAGTAGCTAAATGTTGGTGAAGGAGTATTTATGTATAAATAATTAGCCAGACAAAACACCTGAACCTGAAGTGCTGTAATGTTTTGATCACAGTTTGTATTTTCTTTTATTTAAATTATATCTATCAGCATCAACCTTGTTGATGAGTACCAACAAGGTTATCCAACGTTAATTAACTTCCTGCAAGAAAGAATAGATGTAGATCCAAGTAGAAGTTGTTTTTTTTCCCACGAGACATTACTGTTAATGCCAATCAGCTTTACATGATGTTGTATGTAAAGACATTTATTTTATGTTAGTATTGTTTATTTTATGTACAGAAAAGGTGAAAGTAAACTTTTCTCTGTGTTTGGAACACTGGTGTTCTGCACAACAGCACACTCATTAGGACTATGACGAGGGACCAAGGCACAGCTCAGCAGAAACTGGAATGACCCTCAGTACAGAGAAATGGGATGATTTGGGCAGAACTGGCAACCTGATGAAACTGCTTTGCAATTACCGCTGAGAACAGAAATAAAAAAAAGTGTTTACTGTCAAGTAAAAAGTTCCAAAGGTGCGGTTCTACTGAAATAAAGGTGCGGGGGATGTTGGGAGAAGAGAGAGTTATTCATGGTTTTAATATTAGAAAAAAAAAAGAATAGAATAGAATAGCACATCAGGGTGTGAACGGTTGGTAAACAGATTTCTCTGAGGTCTCACTGAGACACTGTTTGTATTTTCCATAATTTTGAAGATTCAAATGCCGCAGTGGAGAGAAAGTTGTCTAGTACTTCTCATAAGTCACTAGCATTATTACCAGAAGCTTAAAGATTGCTGCCCTTTCATATTAACAAACATTAAATTTGCTCAAACACCTGCCTTTTATTCCAATGCAGAGACAGACAGAGAGAGAAGCTCAGTCAACTTTGAACACTCTCCCTGTCTCTCTCCGGTCATTCGATTCAATCAGCGGAACGGGAGAGACAGATGAGATCAGAGCTTTGACCGCTACTCTGTGCAGTCACCTGACAAAACACACACACGCACACACACACAATTTAAGACAGGGATTGTATTCGAGCAAATGACATCATCAACGGTCACAGAATCTCCAGGGTCAGGGGCTGGCTAGAATCCATCTCATACCAGGCGAGATTACGCCAGAGAATGGTTATTACATGCCTTATGAGGGATTGCTGCAATGAGGGTGACTACAGATACACCCCCATCACCCTCCCTCCCACACACACACACACACACACACACACCCAATGTATCTCCCACAGCCCCTCACCTGAAGAAGATTGATAGTGCAGCCCATTACTGATAGATGGATGAGGAAGATTATGGAATGCTCCATTAGCGTCACTTCATATAGGTAGGAGTCATGTCTGTGTGTGTGTGTCTGTGTGTGTGTATGGAGAGAGGAGTCTGTGAAACAACTCGGCACTTGTTACTGATTGCAGTGAAGACAAAGTGTGGGCACTAAAGGTTATCCACTACAGTGGAATAACAGTGATCAAAGTGTGAAAGTCAGCTTCAGAGACGACTTGGACATCTGTACATGCAACATGTCATCAAACAGTGCATGTTAAAAGCTGTAAAAACACTGTCACAGTGTTCCCTTTTTTAAAATTTTCTTCTGTTCCTAACAATTAGTCCGTCACTTCTGTGACTAACACCTAGTCCCTCTCCAACCAACCAAAAACACCTGTTCAAAAATGATGATTTACTACAGTGGTTTCCAACCTTTCCTGGCTTTCTTTGACATTGCACATTTGTGGTGATCCCAGAGACATTTTTTTCTAGAATTATTTCCTGCTCATGATTGCTATATTGTGTTCAAAAACAGAATAACCAGAATATTTTATATTCCCTGATCATAGCTACAGTCAGACAAGATTGTCTCAACAATGAACAACAACGTTAACAATCTCTCAAACAATGAATTATATCCGGCAACTCTCAGGTTTTTCGTGAAGGCCTACCCTACTCTGACTGTGATTGGCTGACATCATTCCCCTCAACTTGACACCTCACAGTCAAAGGCAGTGAGATTTGGCTGAAAAGAACTGTGAAAAAGAGTCAGCTGTCAAAATGTAAACACAACAACAAAACAGATTCAAACCTGAGACAACAATATGACAGTTCTGGCTTTGGGTCCAGACAGGAGAGAGAGTCTAAGTCTGGACCCGGACCACGGTCTGCCTTTCAGTGACCAGTGCTTCAGGGGCACTGTGTGGCAGGTGAAGATGACCACTGATGTTTCTAACAGTTTAAAGGGCATTAAGGAATAAAGACATTGAGAAATAGAGACATTATTTTCCAACCTACTCTCTGTCGTATGCAATAACATGTCATGTGTACACTGAGATGAAACGTGCATGGACACTAGATGTGCTCCAGAAATGGCGTCCATTACTCCTGTGAAGGTCTGAGTACTTCACTGCAATCATCCGCCGTCTCCAATCCAGTGAATCCACCTTGACCTGGGAGTGTACTGGTGTGGTGCAGAAGGTCTTCTACTCTCTCCTCCATCACCAGTCCATTCCCTGGATGGACTGTGATTAACCCCTTTGGTGCCAGTAGGAAGGTGATTCGCCTATGTTGATATAATGTCACCTGCATCTACCTCATCTCTTGGCTAATGGAGCTGAGATCAGGAGGTTGGCTGATGAA